ACCTTGGCAAACTGCTCTGCCCCTCACTTCAGTTCTTTTTCTGCAGAATGTGACCAGAATGGGCAGGATGCAGTGGCTCATGCCTATAATCTCAGCATTTGGGGAGGCTGAGGTGGGCGGATCACAAGGTCAGCAGATCCGGTTTCTTTTTTTTTTTCTTTGAGATGGAGTTTCACTCTTGTTACCCAGGCTGGAGTGCAATGGCGTGATCTTGGCTCACCGCAACCTCCACCTCCTGGGTTCAAGCAATTCTCCTGCCTCAGCCTCCTGAGTAGCTGGGACTACAGGTATGTGCCACCATGGCCAGCTAATTTTTGTATTTTTAGTAAAGATGGGGTTTCACCATGTTGACCAGGATGGTCTCAATCTCTTGACCTCGTGATCCACCCGCCTCGGCCTCCCAAAGTGCTGGGATTATAGGCATGAGCCACTGCGCCCAGCCATCAGACCCAGTTTCTACAAAAAATTAAAAATTAGCTGGGCACGGTGGCAAGTGCCTATAGTCCCAACTACTCAGGAGGCTGAAATGGGAGGATGACTTGAGCCCAGGAGTTTGAGACCACAATGAGCTATGATAGTGTCACTGCACTCCAGCCTGCCCAGAGCCTGTCTCTTAAAACAAAAACAAGCCAGATGCAGTGGCTCATGCCTGTAATCCCAGCACTTTGGGAGGCGGAGATGGGCAGATAGCTGAGGTCGAGAGTTCAAGACCAGCCTGACCAACATCGAGAAACCTCATCTCTACTAAAAATACAAAAATTAGCCGGGTGTGGTAGTGTGGGCCTGTAATTCCAGCTACTCAGGAGGCTAAGGCAGGAGAATTGCTTGAACCCGGGAGGTGGAGGTTGCAGTGAAACGAGATCACGCCACTTCACTCCAGCCTGGGCAACAAGAGCAAAACTCAGTCTCAAAATATACATATATATATATATATATATATATATATATTTTTTTTTTTTTTTTTAAAGTGTACAATATGGGCCAAGCATGGTAGCTCGTGCCTGTAATCCCATCAGTTTAGGAGGCCGAGGCAAGTGGATCCCTTGAAGTCAGGAGTTCGAGACCAGCCTGGCCAACATGGTTTTTAAAAGTATATTTAACGTGTACAACAGGGGCCAGGCATGGTAGCTCATGCCTGTAATCCCATCACTTTGGGAGACCAAGGCAGGTGGATCCCTTGAAGTCAGGAGTTCAAGACCAGCTTGACTAACTTGGTAAAACTCCACCTCTACCAAAAAATACAAAAATTAGCCAGGTGTGGTAGTGTGCACCTGTAGTCCCAGCAACTTGGGAGGCTGAGGTGGGTGAATTGCTTGAACCTGGGAGGCAGAGGTTGCAGTGAGCCAAGACTGTGTTTCTGCACTCCAGCCTGGACAACAGAGTGAGATGCTGTCTCAAAAAATAAAAAAATTAAAAAAAAAATAAATTGTACAAAGTGATTGGGGGGTGGGGTTTGTTTTGGTTTGGTTTTTTTTGAGACGAAGTTTTGCTCTTGTTCCTCAGGTTGGAGTGCAATGGCACAATCTCGGCTCACCACAACATCTGCCTCCTGGGTTTAAGTGATTCTCCTGCCTCAGCCTCTCAAGTAGGTGGGATTACAGGTATGTGCCACCATGCCCGGCTAATTTGTGTATTTTTAGTAGAGACGGAGTTTCTCCGTGTTGGTCAGGCTGGTCTTGAACTCCTGACCTCAGGTAATCCACCCACCTCGGCCTCCCAAAGTGTTGGGATTACAGGCATGAGCGACCACACCCAGCCTAAATATACTTTTAAAAACCATGCCCATTAGACTTGGGTATTGGTTATATGGTGGTTACCTTTAAAATTATTCATGATGGCCAGGTGTGGTGACTCATGCTTATAATCCCAGCACTTTGGGAGAGACCAAGGTGGGAGGATTGCTTGAGTCCAGGAGTTTAAGACCAACATGGGCAACATTGGGAGAACCCATTTCAATTATTTTTGAGATGGAGTTTCACTCTTGTTGCCCAGGCCGGAGTGCAATGGCTTGATCTTGGCTCTCTGCAACCTCCACCTCCTGGGTTCAAGTGATTCTCCTGTCTCAGCCTCTGAAGCCCAAGCTGGAGTGCAGTGGCGTGATCTTGGCTCACTGCAACATCTGCTTACCAGGTTTAAGTGATTCTCCTATCTCAGCCTCCCAAGTAGCTGGGATTACAGGCGCACACCACCACACCTGGCTAATTTTTGTATTTTTAGCAGAGACGGGGTTTCATCATATTGGGCAGGCTGGTCTTGAACTCCTGACCTCAGGTGATCTGCCCACCTCGGCCTCCCAAAGTGCTGAAATTACAGGCATGAGCCACTGTACCGGGCATCTATTTTAAAATAAATAAATGGGTCAGGTGCTCAATGCCTATAATCCTGGGTTCAAGCAACCCTACTGCCTCAGCCTCCCAAGTAGCTGGGATTACAGACATGTGCTTCTACACCCACTGGCTCATCTGTGGTGCTTTTGAATCTAATATTCACCAGCCTGAGTTTCTAAGAATGGGGAATAGGGTGCTTAAGGTCTCAAAAGTTTTCAGCAGACTCAAGTTTGGGATCTAGCATCTACTAAAACAAGTTTTAACTATTGCACTTTTCTAAGAGAGTCGTATATTGTATAACAGCAAGGGAAAAGATAAAACAATATGACTTGAAATTCTGTGTTGTGGACTGGCATCTTGGGGTGGACTTGGCCAGGCCAGCTATGAGGAACTGTCCCAGATTGTGTCATCTCTAAGAGCTGTCAGAGCCTCACGTCATGTGTAGTCTAAATGGAGCTCCGCACCCAGCACTGGCATTCTTGTGGAAGTTTGGACAGACATGGCACCAACACATGGCACCAGCTGCATTAGTGGATTGCAGAGTAACACAGGAGGTAGCTTCACCTCAGGAAAGCATCTCAGTACTGAAGATCTGGTTACATTCTACTGCTATCGGATCATGAATTCCTTTAGAAAAACGGTGCTGGAAGCTGGTAGTGGTGGCTCACACCTGTAATTTCAGCACTTTGGGAGGCTGAGGCAGCAGGATTGTTTAAGCTCAGTAATTCAAGACCAGCCTGGGCAACATTGGGAGACCCCATCTCTACAAAAAATTAAAAATTAGCCAGGCATGGTGGTGTGTGCCTGTGGCCTCAACTGCTAGGGAGGCTGAGGTGGGAGGATAGCTTAAACATAGGAGGTTCAGGCTGCAGTGAGCCGTGATTGTGCCACCGCACTCCAGCCTGGGCAACAGAGTCAGACTCTGCCTCCAAAAAAAGAAAAGGGCCGGGCGCCGTGGCTCACGCCTGTAATCCCAGCACTTTGG